ATATGTTTCTGTGGATTTGTTTTGATTCCAGGTTCTGTGCTTCAGACCATAAAGTCATTTTGCAACCAGAACTCCAGCTATGATGAGGTTTACGGACAACCACAGCCTTACTGGAACTGGAAATGAGTGAAAACAAATGGAACGACCTGAGTGAGGTGCAAAAGGCTGTGGAACATCCACCTTATCTGCTTTAAGACTAATTCCCATTTCTTTTGACTGGATAAGAATACAGTTCTGATACAGGAAGGAAGGTGGAGAGAAAATACATGCAGCTTCCTCAGCACCAGAGCTCCTGAGGAAAGCTTTCTGCCTAAGTCTGCATGTTAGGGGGGAACCAAGATCATCTCCCTCAGTCAGTTCTTAGTTACATGACTCTTGAATGCACATTCACATTTAGCACTGCTTGCATCACACATTTACCTCACCTTCACCAGCATAAGGGCCAACATACCATGCAGTGTTCAGCTGAACAGAAGTTCATGGTAGTGTGTTGCATGCAAATGCAAAGTTCTGGTATTAATTTAAATTCCTTAAACTTGATAAACATACCAAGGGGAAGGTCATCTGGGCAGCCATGCACTGATTCTGAGAAGGCATGCAAGGTGTTCCTGAAGGATGCACAAGAGAACTGTGTTTTTTTTCTTTTTAAATAAAAAACACTTCTCCTTTAGAGAGTTAGTATATGACCACTTTCCAACTCTACTGGACCTGGAGGGGGCCCCATGCAGACTGGATCTGCCTGTCGCACAAACACACAGCAGACCTGGCTAGTGACTACAGGCCAGTTTTATACTGTGGTGTCTGCATCTGCACCAAGGAAAGGTGGAGAAGAGAAACCCAGGCCAACACACAGCCCTTACACCAAGAGCAGCAGGTGAACACAGAGCTAAGGAGCATGCCCCTCACCACAGATTAATAGTTAGAAATTTCCCCTACCCAACCCTACACAGCCATGCCTGAAGCCTTGGGAAGCTCCAAGGAGGAGGTACTTCCCAGCCATAAGCCTCATACTGGCCAGTTTGTCGATTCACATGTGACCATCACTCCTGCTACACCAAAAACAAGCATGAAATTGCTCCTCACTACTCTGGGTAGAAGGTAAAACCCAATTCTTTCCGAGCACAGCCATTCACAGACAAGCTCTGGCCCAGCAATACAACCCTGTGATACGCTGTTGGTAGAAGACACTAGGATTTCATAATGAAGGAATATTTCCCCTGTTCTCAAACCCAGAGCCACTCCAGTGACAAAGGGGACTGGCACAGCGCTCCACCTCACCAGTCCCAAAACGTCTCTCATTGACAGACTGATATGAACAACAAAGTCATTTCTAGAGAAGCCTGAGACACTGGTTAAGAGAAACTCCCAGGATTCTGTGAAATGCTAAGCCTATTACTCAGCAACCATGAAAAGAAACTGGTCTCTGATCCAGCTGCTGGGAGCAAAATGACATCTTCTCATTTAGTTCAGCCAGCCACACAATGTTTTTTTGTTCTGTGCCTTGGAGAAAGAATACTAACACCACAGTCCGGGAAGAAGTGCCACAACATCTGTACAAACTCACATCTCTGGAGGAGGAAGAACAGGCCAGCCTGATGCTCTGCATTTTAACAGACCCGCCTTAAAACAAGAGCTCATGCTCATATTGTGCAACACCATTTCCTATTAATTGTCAGGGGTAGGTGCCCTGTGGCCCAGGAAGCACTGTTTCCTAGTCTTCCCCATTTTCTGTCAGCTTTAGCAGGGATATAGAGCTAAAAAACAAAACCATACAAAACCACCATTTTCCTGCTTTTGCACCTCAGGAAAACCCTGACAGGTCAAGGTCTGCAGGCATGTGAGAGTCCATCAACACAGCGCTGTCTGGAAAGCAGCAGCTGATATCAGTTGTATCCTAGGAATTCCATACAGAAGGTACAGACAAGGACAGGGCAGTATTCCCTTTCTGCCTGGGACCTGGTTGTCTCCTGTTCTTAACAAGCTAAAGGAACAGACTAGGTGAAAATAATTTAATCAAAGTGCAGGAATTACTAGAAAAACAGTTATTAATCCCCTGTCCAGATGGAAAAGCGTATTTAACAAGTTGCCAGAAGGGGATCTTACCCTACTCCAGCAGAGTTTAGTACTTGTACAGGAAATCCAGATTATATTTCTTTCATGGATCAGAAATAAAGATCACGCCTCTTAAACCCGACAGTAGGCCAAGAGGCCTGCATGTACCACAGAGCCTGGATTAAAACCAAGTATGACATGAGAACACAGGACCTCAGCTAGGTACTGGCAAGGAAAAGGTACTACATTGTGCTCAAATAAGGGGGACCAGTCACTCCACTATTTTGCAAGAAGTGCTCCAGGGGTTAGAGTATAACTCAGGCTGGACATGAGTCAACTGTTTTGTGTTGTTCTGAGACATTGAGTAGGGCTGTATTTAAGAAGAAAGGAAGTTGCAAGAGGTGTGAAGTAACCTTTCCCTTCCACTCCATATCCCCAGGAGTGCTGTGTCCAGTTAACCCATCACACCTTTAAAGGTGTGGACAAATGAATCACAAACCTCAGAATTGTATTGCCTTTGAGTAAGGATTGAATGGAGAGTGTAGTTTAGACCAGAAAATAGAATGGAGTCAGGACCTGGCCCTTTAGTTACCAAAAGGGCAAGGGGAAGAGACAGCCACTGCACCCAGGCTCCCTTTAATCAGGGCAGATTGAGGTGTACCTAAATTACAGCAAATGAAATGTAGGTTAAACATCACAGACAAATTTTGTAGCTGCAAGGATAATTAAGTATCAAATGAAGTGCCTGGGGAGATAGCCATGTTTCCAGCACAGGGAGGCTTTACAACAGGTTAGACTAACAGGTGGAGTTAATCCTGCTCTAGAAAAGAAGCAGGATGAAATTGAGAGAGCCCTTTGAGACTTATCTTGTGGTCTGGAGCAAACACAGAGGATGGCAAGCACCTTCAGTTCCTCCTTTCTTCTAGAAGGGATAAAGGGTGAAATTATGTTTTTAGCATCTTGTTACCAGTCCCTTACCCCCCTATCCATGGAGGATCCAACCTCCCCCTCCCACTGGCTCAAGGGAAAGGATATTAGTTTTAGGTTACTTCACATGATCCAGTCAGTCCCATTTTCCAGTGCTCCCTCTCTCCTTCCCTCAGGATTCACCCACGTCACCACCTACCAGCTAACATGCATCAAACTCCTGGGTGTCTAACAGGTTACATATCCTAAATCCTTGCTAGCAACCTGCTCAGTTTCACAATTCACTGCTTCCATTTCGGGCTGGAGCAAACCATTGTGCCTGACTGTTGAAATATTACATGTCCACTGCTATTAGTTCACAAAGTAAGGATGCAACTTAGTCTACACCAAGTTGCTCAGCTAGATCAGGCCTATTTGTTGCTCTCCAACTGACACTCAAACTGTGCTCTGCTCAAATGCCACACAGCTTTTCACAAGGGCAGGAAAACAGACTTCTGCTTTGGTAGCAAGAGCCAGAGTGCAGAACCTTGCTCAAGGATGGCTTCCTCTTTCCTAAGTGAGTTGCATTTATTATCAGTTGGTGGTTTTCAGTGTTTCTGTTCCTGCTCTGGAAGTTGCCCTTCCTCAACGCTCTGTGGTCAGGCTGTGTTTGGTGCCTGATAACAGCCTTAGAGACAGCTGCTGCAAAGACAGGGGGAAGCACATATAAACAAAATGGGTGTGCATTTTCAACAGCTGCTTTCTGAGAAGCTTTCTGAAGCCTTATGTACAGCAAGCACTTTGTATGCAGCTAGAGACTGTCCTTTCTCAGCCACGTTGTCTGACAAAACAGTCATCCCATCTCTATCTGGCTCAACTGTTCCATAACATCAGATGGCACTGCAGCAGAAGCCCTCTCACTTCAAGTGGTAATGGACCAACTCTAAGTGATCCAAGACGTAGCACTCCAGACCGCTTCTAGGTCCTTTTTGACCAAGGCCTTACCACCCCCTTGAAGATGGGTGTCTAACCGCCTGCAGTCACCTGTTCTGCCCACCAAGACACATCCAGGCTAACCATGATTCCTTAGTAACATGGCATTTCTGCTTATGCTTTGATTTACATACTGAGGATCATGAGATATTCTTCTAGCAAAAGCCCATGGCAGTTTATCTTTCTGTCCCCACAGGTTTTTCCAGTTTCTTTTGAAGCTAGCTTTAGTGATAGATTACCAATGATCAACCATTCCAATCTCCCAGTCCCACAGAGTAGTTCTGCCAGCTGTTTCTTCTTCCTTGTGGTATTGTTTCTCTTGAGGTTTCCTCATCTGGGAACCCTAATCCTTCAGGAAAAACGTTAGGTTGTCCCTGTAAATAGGCGTGTAAAGGTGTTAACTTTAAGGCAGACAACACTGCAGAAGCAAAGAAATCACTTGCATTTACAGTGTGAAGCCTGCAAGACAAGTTTTCCTTTATCCTACCACCTGATAAGCAGAGAGCTGTAACACTGCTGTCAGAGATCCCTAAAGCAAGGGCTATAAAGAACTAGGATTTGGCAAGAGCTTCTGTCATCTGCAAGACTGCCTCTTTGATCCTCCTTACGCTTCTGTAAGGATGCCAACATCTCTGCCAAACAGAGCAACAGAGCTGCTGCATCAAGGCAATCTCCTCACTTTTTTTCCCCTCTGCTTTTTTTTTGCTTGGTAACATTTCATTTCATACAGCAAGAAAATCCCCACACCTTCCTCTACTACCTATACCTCTTAATTGCAGCATTTCTGTTTAATCAATTGAGAATCCTCACTCAAAGGAGTGAGGACTAGGAGGGCAAGACACTCCTTTGCAAGTTGGGCTATGCCCACAGAGTCAGCTGCACCTCTGACCAGTCATGAAACTGAGTAAATTATTATTTCCCTTGCTCTGCCTTAGGCTGGGAGCTCAACAAAATCAGGCTTGGTTACCATTTATTTGCCTAGCACATAGCCTATTAACATTTCCCTGAAGCAAGTCAATTGAGTAACCCAGACTACTATCTCGCTTTAGGGGCTGCACAGACCATCTCCCGGACTCTATGGAAGCAAAAGGTGCTGATGAACTGCGATATTTCATCTCCAATACATGTGCTTCAGTCCAGACAGCAGTTGTTCCATGCCATGCTAAAGGTATTTCCTCTCATTTCTCACTATATTTTCACTACCACACCGCATTGCACAACTGAAAAATAACTACCAAGTCAAGTAGGAACCTTGTCCTGAGGAGTCAGCCATCTCCAAGGCTGGACTCTATGTCAAAAGCCCTAGCAAAGCTCACTAGACTCTGCCAGTGGTTCACATTCGTGTACTGCCAATATCAGTCTAACAGAAAACAACAATTAAAGGTACATCAGTGCAAGCAATGTTAATAAAAATAAGTTTTTCCTCTAGTAGTCTTCAGATTTCTGAGCCCTTAAGGAAAGCAGCCGACATTTTTTTAAGCCTTTTTAAACTTGTTTCTTTCTAGCAGTAGCTAGAATTTTCCTTTGAGTGTATGAGTGCAGAAGGTTAGTCCAAGAAAAGCATTGAGCACTCGAGGACTATACAATGACATGCAAGTACTTGCAATTATCACTTAAACCATTTCAAGTCCAAGAGCCCCTTAAGTCATGTAACAAAACCAACATACCTATTCCATTGACATACATCCAATACTTTAACTCAGTATTTTTCAAGTATGTCAATATTTAGAGTATGAAAGTACTGATGGAATACACAGTGAAAAATGATCTCGCTTGAGACTTTTTTACATCGTAGATGAAAGCACAGTGGGAAATAAAAATATATGTAGAGCTAGTATGCAAGCTTTCACTTAAAATTATAATCAAATCAGCAAATCCTGTTGCTCCTTATGCTTCAACAGACTTTTTAAAAGGAACAAGCTATATCCAAACTACTAAACTATACTTATCTGGAGAGCATGAAATCAGAGCTTCCCAACATGAGCCTTTACAGTTAACATCCACCACATAATTAGTACTTTCTTTGAGAACATGTGTCTTGAAGTGGGAACATCTTGGGAACCTTGAATAGGTATTTTTAGCTTCAAAAAACAGTGTTTGGCTACACTAAGCCATGTCTTTGTTCTGTGTTGGTATAACAGCCAGTACAAAAAAAGAGGAGCTCTGGTAGTGAACCAAGACCCTGTAACTGCCGCAGTATTTGTTTTTAAGCACTTCTAGTGTGTGCAAATGGCATCCCTCCTAGATGATTGTGCATTTTAAATGGCTCTTGATTATTTTCTCAGTAGGGCCAAATGGAGCCCTTTTGTGTAGAAATATTTAACATCCAAAGTGGCCTTCAGGACAGATACAGCATTAAGCTCCCCTTCACTCAATGCCTGCGGTACACTTTTAGTATTTCACTGCAGCAGTTGGTAGCATGTTTTTGAAGAGAATTTGAGTGGGAAAGCACGTTACATATATTTTGACATGTTGACAACTACCAAGAGAAAGGGCCTGAGAGATCATACCAGGTCCAACAGTTCCCAGTTAGCATTTGACCTTAAATTCCAGGTTCCCATGGCTATCTGTATTTAATGGGTTTCTCTCCTATTTGTTTTATTCTTTATATAGTCATTTATACCAGTGCAAAGACACAAAAATCTAAGTGGATCAGAGTGCTAATGTCCTGCATGCACTCACTTAACCCTGCTGTCCCGCATAGTCATCTGTCCTGTTCTCATTCTCCACCTGTATCCAAGATAACACTTAAGAACATCAAGCAAAGGAAAAGCCTTTATTCCCCACAGCACAAGGAAGAGATTGTGTTGCTTTGCATCATGACCAGATCATGCCAGGGGAAAGCATTTGCATAAAGGGAGGACAAAGGACCCCAGCAACATTATACCCCCCTTTTGAGCAGGATGAAATGACGGCATAAGGTGTTATGGAAGCTCAGGCCTACAGCACAGTTTGTAGCTGGAAACCAATGTCATTGACTGGGCTGACTGGGAAGAACATCACTAAACAAAAAACAACTTAGGACCCCTGACCTCTATGATACAGTTCTTCCTCAGTCATGATTAGGCTTGGACAGACAGAGCATCAGCTTGCTCTGTTTGGTTCAACAGCACTAGCAGGCTCCATCAGATACCCAACAGCTCATCTCCCTTGCAACCAAGAAACAAGTTTCTTGAAGGGCAAGAGAGCTGTTGCTCTTCAGTTTGTACAGGCATGACCCTCCACTGTCTTTGATTCAGAATACAATTTCAAGCTAACCTAAGTATAAAATTGGCTAAAATGCAGAGTAGACAGACATTGAGAAGGACAGGTGTTGGTCATTACTGGAATACATGACAATAACTGAGAAGGAAGAGCTACTCTGCTTTCACCCCACACTTCAAGAACAGTTCAGCTTAGATTCGAGTAGCAGGAATTTGTACGGTGAAATTAAAAACCTAATATAGCTTTAATATTGGGATGCTCTTCACGCAGATGTGATAGAGGGAGACAAACCCAAACTTTCCCTTCACTTTTCAAACACGAAAAAAATTAAGGGTGATATCAGAGACTGAGCATGCAGTGCTTCCCCATTGAGACCCTACACCTCAAATGGAAATCCTAAGTGTTAGACAGGGCCAAATTACTTCTCTTGACAGATCGCATCCAAAAGTCTTTTTGCCCTATGCTTTGATGCATCTGATAATTTCAGAGTTGCAACTACTCCATTCCATTATGAGAATGAAATGCATCCTGATACTAAAATTCTAAGAATTGAGTGCAGTAACTTGTCCTACCTCTTCCCTCAAAAGTGAAAGAAAAAAAAAACAGCCTTACTTTTCACCAGCTACTTGCCCTTTCAACACAAGTCATCTGATTCTATTCACTCATTTATCCCTCATTTGTTAAGCAGCCTGCTCTTACAAGCTCAGCTACAGTAAGATATATAGTTGGTTGTCCTCAGACAATAGGACAAACATGAAATCCTGCCTGGCTAAGTGCACGCAATTTCTACTCATAAAACAACCTTCCAATCCTTTTGTCCCAAAGCAGATTCTTCACTTGGAGCCATTTCAGCATTACAAAACACCTTTCTTTACCCATTGTGGAAACAATGCACACAAACTGCACAAGCAGCATATTTAAACTTTTTAATGGATCTAGTAGCATCAACCACATATTGCCTGTTTTAAGTCCTGGATCCTGGGGATATGAAGCATGTCTCTAGGAGTGCATAAGACAGCTTACCGTGAGAGAACCTAAGCAGCAGCTTAATGTTAGACATGTATGTGAACCTGGAAAATGGAAGCCTTACTCAGCTCACCAGCACTGGAGCAGCCTTTCAGCAATAACGCTCCCTTGGCACTCTAGAGCAGCTCGTGTCAGTGAAGCGCTGCAAGCTGAATGACACAGGGTTTGTTTTCAGACAGGTGGCAGAGCTGGGAAGCCAGAAATCTTCCAGGCATAACTCTGATTAACTCCTGCACCCATTTCCAAAGTGAACTGTCATTTCCCCGCTGGTAAGTTTTCATCTGGGCTGTTGATGACAAGCCATTAAAGCATCCAGCCAATTCCACTCACATAACCAGTTATATGACCAACAGGGAGAGAACAGCAGCTAGACCTGAAAAGGCTTTTGGTCTCCTGCTGTGCTTAGATTATGATTTAATGCTGAAAAGTTGGCATGGCAACCAAATGCTTGGCAACAAAACATCATGGCCAAGGAACAGGCCCAGAACAGGGCCAAATAAAAGCACTGCCCAACTCTTTGCGGGCAGATCTGTGCCCTACATACACTTGTTGTCAGCGCTTCTGTATGAGTGAGGATTACATCACAAGGAAGCATTATTAATAACCTGGGCAGGTCTGCAGTAAGTGAATAGCAAGAGTTCTCTGAAACACTCAAAACGGACCCTGGCGTCTCGTCCAGGCTCCTTTTGCTTCATCCACTGATTGCAAGGTTGCCAGGAGACAGTCTTGCTCCACACCAGGGTTTGCCATGAAGTGCCATTGTAATTTCACTGTCCCCCTCCTCCTCTGTCCTCCTCTTGCTCTCCTCAATGACAGGAGCCTGGCAATGCCCTGGTCCTCCGTTCTGACACAATAACCTCTTTTGATTTGGGAGTACTCAAAAGCTTTTTGCTTTTTCCACAACAACCTACCAAGCAAAACCCCAAAACCACACAAATCCAGATTTGCATGCATAGGCTGGAAAAGGGATGCAAGCACTTTAAAAGATGGGTCTGACCTGAAGGGAAATTAGTGAATTAAACTGAAGGGCCCTGTGTTGGACAGATCAAAGACTCCTCATAGGCTCTGTAAGCACTGTGGTTTCATCTTCTGAAACGTAACATGAACATTTACACGCCTCACAAGTGCATACAAAGTACATTACCCTTATTTGTTCTGGGAACCTTTTATAGCCCACTAAAGTACATCCTTGGCTATTTAAATGCCCCCAGGCTTTTGTTTCATCATGCAGGGCTTCAGAAACCCCACTTGCCTTCAGGTATCAGCAAGTCAAGTCCTGAGTGCATCAGAACATAAGCCACTCCTTCTCCAGCCTTCATCAGGTCAAGTGCTTTCCTTATACCTCTGCAAAGGAAGCCTTCTGCACATGGACTCAGGATGAGCCACTGAGTATGGCATCCCCTTCCCCAGCCTGCAGGCGCCAGGGCCATCTCTTAGTTCAGAGAGCTGTGCTGTTAAGCAGATAAGAGACGTTAAAGGCTAATCAGTTCCATGGTTGCTTTGCCAAGTACTGTGAGCCAAGGATCAGTTTGTGCTGCCATTTAGCATAGCCTTTCATTGTCAGAACATAAACTGAAAGGTGGCAGCTAAGGAGGAGATCCCTGTGGTAACAGAGACCTTTTCTCAGCAGCAAAAGCTTCTAAAAGAATAGCACAGCTAATACATAGCTAGACAACATAGTACTTTAGCTTCCTCAAGGGTCTTGAAAAGCTGCCAGAAATTGAGAGAAGATTTTTAGTGCTCCATTTGCAGGGACTTAATCACACAGCCTGTTTCTGCACCTGTGGGGAAAGCATTTCATTTACATGCTATTCTCCAGTGCAGTAACCACTCTTTTCCTGAATGAAAATTCCTTCACTGCTTGCAAGTGAACTAAACTGGATCTGTTATCACCATCAATCCCAATACTTGTGCTCATTCCAGCATTCCTGCTTGCCAT